TTTGTATGTTTGTATATTTTAATACGAGTGTCTCACCACAAAGAAGAGTTCCTGACAAAACACCTTGTTGGATGGGGCTTTGAAAGCCATTTGAGTTTGCCTTCATTGTTCAGGCATTCTGTCCGAGCACTTGCGGCAATATGCCATGTGGATGACCTCATCATCGCTGGAGAAGGAGAAGCCTTGGAGTGGCTGTTGGCTGAGATGAAGGGAGGATTTACTTGTTTCGATTTCGCTCAGCACTTGGAACGTTGCTCTATGTGAGCCAAGATCGAGTGGATGTACAACATTGCATCCGCAACCTGAGTCAGTTCATGGCACAACCAACAAAGCAAGCTGAGGCAGAGATCAAGCGCGTGATCCTTTACTTGCGGCGCACTGAGAACTATGGCCTGCTACTTCCCTACCAAAAGTACAGAAGCAAGAAGTCAGAGATTCTTTGTCAGGTGGAGGATGCAGAAGGCCCCGACTACCTGGAGTCATTCACAGATAGCGACTGGGCTGGTGACAAGAGCAGCAGTTCAAGAAGAAGACATAGTGTCAGTTCGGTCCAGATGTTTTTGAATGGCTGCATGGTGACAAGTTGGAGCCGATCACAAAAGAGCATTGCATTGAGCAGCTGTGAAGCCGAGTTTTTGGCAGCAGCCGGTGGGGCTGCAGAAGCACTTCAGGTGAAAGATCTATGGGTCTTCATCAGTCGACGAGAAGTGATGATTAAGGCCATCACTGACAGCAGCTCATGTCGTGCCTTCACCGAACGACTTGGAGTTGGAAGATTGAAGCACATCGATATCAAGTACTTGTGGATGCAACTCGAAGTGAAGAAAGAGACTTTGGTCATGGAGAGCATCCCAACTTTGCTGAATGTCTCCGATTTGGGGACAAAGAAGCTGAGTCGACAACGTCGTGAACTTCTGATGTACTTGATTGGCATCATGGAGATGAATGCAGAAGGAAAAGCGGAGATTTGCACAAGAGTTGGCGAAGAAACTTTCAGCCGAGAACTGGAGAAGAAGATGCTTGCAAAGAAGATGAAGGAGGTGAAGAAGGAGATGGTGCAAATGGTGGTTGTGGACCATGGGGGTTCAGGAGCCAAGATACTCACGAATGTTGTGAGAGCAGTGACTCTGCTTTTGCTGCGACAAGGAGTGACTGGAGAAAGACTGCAGACAGAAGAAGGAGAGTGGTGGACAGGGTGGATGATCTTTAAGATCGCCTGTGTCTACACCCTGTTTGCGTTCGCCTTTGGCATCTACATGGGCTACAGATTTCGAATGAAGATTTCCATTTTCTTTCGAACGTGCAGTCGCTTCCTACGACAGGAGACCACTATGGAGTTTCAACGTGAACAAGATCTCCAGAATCAAGTGGGTATGATCATGAGAGCAAGCATGGGAGCAGGCATTGGTGAATGGCATCCTGATCCGACACCAAGGATCTATGAACCCTTGCTGCATAGAGAATCAGCAGAAGAAGAAGCAGATGAACCAGTTCACGAAGCAACTCCCGAGACTCGAATGTGGCCAGAAGATGAAGAATCTGAACCAGGAGCCGAAGGAGAAGGTCAAGATGACAATGGAAACAACCCATGGGAGATCACCTGGGTTGGAAGCTGGGTGACTGATTGGAATCCAGAACTTGGACGACTACAAGAATACAGGTTGTTGGCAAGTTCCGATGACGCAGAGAGTGGTGAAGAATACTTCATTAGCAATCCCCTTAGGGGATATCAAAGAAGGTACAAACCATCGACCTCAGAGCGAGATGAAGCAAACCCTATGGAAGTGGACATTGATGAACAACTTGCCCAAAGTGCCCACAGAGCTGATGCCAGAGCCAGAGAAATGGCCGAGATGCCCTATGATGAAATTCCACCGGTTGATGCTGACTGGTGGGACTATGAGACTTTGATTTCATGGCTGAAGCCAGAAGAGAAGCCAAGAGCAAGACAATTGAAAGAAGCTGGGATTGAAGGAGTTCCTACGAACCCGCTTGACCTCCCTCTATGGCAAGCGGTACTACCACATGGTGTTTGACCACATCATGGGCTGGAACCAAGAAGAGCAGCGGGACTTCGCTGCATTCAGCGTGGCGGTTCTTTCCAGTCAATGGGAAGATAACTTCGAAGAGAGAGCGCGCCGCTACATAGAAAGCGGTGAAGTGTAAAAAGGCGACCTTTGCTCCAGGCCGCTTTTTAGGTGGAGTGTTACAGATTTCCACCTTTGACATGTGCAGTTCGAGACTCGACTTCGCCGGCCTTAAGTGGCCCAAGGTTTAGCTGTGAAAACGGCACGTTCGATCGTTTTGATCGTGTTTTCTTTCATTTTGTTACTTTCTTTTGGGCTTGTGAGGATGAAAGTATCTTGAAGGGATGTCCTTTTTGAATTGCTTTTCAACCTGACTGTGCGCTTGACGGCCTTATGTCTTCGAGCACTACATCTTGTTTGCAATATTTGGCTTTCAATTTTTGTGATGACAGAAGCTGGAGTCAACTTGGCCCACAGATAGTTCGAGTCAAGTGATTTGCAAGTCAAGGGAATGAGTTCTGAGCTGCTGAAACTGAGTTGATGTTGAGGGGGCTTGGTGTTACAGTGTTGTATCTGTCTGTGGCAAGCCGTCTGGAGACATCATGTCTGTCATGTAGGTGCGCCGTGCGGTTTTGCGCGGCCCTGGTGGAAAGTGCGTTTGCGCCATAGAGGGAAGGAAAACATCTTGGTGTCAATGCGGCGCGCCGCTGGAGCGGGATGAGTGGCGGTGCCCACGAGGCTTGGTGCTGCGTCTGTGATGTCGCTGTGCCATTCGGTTTTACGCGGCCTCGGTGGAAAGTGCATTTGCGCGAGTCCGCATTGGGGAAAAAAAACATGCCGGAGCAGACGCGGCATGTCGCAAAGCGGGATGGGTGGCGGTGCCCACGACGTTGGGTGTTACATGGTTGTATCTAGTTTGGGGCACACTGTGTGGAAAAGTTGCGTCTGTGAGTGATGTCACCGTGCCATGAAAATTGGGTGTTGCACTGTTGTATGTAGTGAATCTAGTGTGGCCAAACTACATCCACTAATTTGCTCGAGTGCTACCTGCACCTTTGCCATTGACTTTTCCACAGCAAGTCTCAAAAAGGTGTATTTGACATACCGTCCTGTGATATACAGTGCGCCTAAAGCTGGTGCGCTTGTGTTTCCACTTTGGCGGGCCATTCGTCGTGCAGCTTGCCAACTTGGAAAAACCCTTTGCAGAAAGAAAACTTCTTCTAATAAAACCAGATGCTTTGCTTTGTGAAACTAGATGCAAGCTGCCTGTGTTGCGTGGCAGCTGACCGGTCGTCGTTGTTGGGTGCCGAATCTTATGACTGCAATGGTGAGGATTCAGATTTTGCGAAACCCAATTCTGCACAACATCGGGTAGATGAGCGAAGTGTGTCCCTGCAGGCTCAAAAGCAAGACATCTTCATGGTTGTGTCGTAGGGCTTTACGGTGCATCCTTTTTGTTCACTTTGAAGGCTTGTGCAGCACATTTCACCAACCCAAAATCATTGTTCTACACATGTGTGGGCGTTTTCAGCGGTCGGCCCCATGATGTGACATCAATGTCAGAAAAGCTCACTGCTGTACTTGCAGCTTGGTTTGAATATGTAAGATGTTGTTTGTTTTCATTCTGGACCTGAGGCCAGATGTGAGAGAATCCAACAAGGGGCAGAGACTTGTGCAAGCACTGTTTGGAGAACTGTGTAGTCATGTTGCTGGAAACATTGTCGCACGATGTGTTGCATTGGTGTTGCCATAGCCGAGGAAACCCTGTCCAATTTGCCCAGTCATTTGGCAGAGCGGCTTCAAAAATTGTATTCAAAATGTGAGAGGCATGGAATTGAGCAAGCAACATATATGATACAGGAGTAGGGGCAATGTGAGTGATAGTTGCACACACCAATTTGTTTCCAGGTTGAAGCAAGCCAATTCACAGGAGAACTTCGTGGGATGTGTGCTTTTGGACGAATGCATGTTAATTCTACAACCTCTCCACGTCAATGTGTAGTTGACATTTTTTGAGCGAGATGAGGTTGCCAATCGTTTCACGTTCAATTTCTCACAGTTGACCGTTGGATGTGGTACCCCGAGTGCTATTGAGTTACCTTCAAAACACTTGAGGCACACACACACATTGTTTAGTTTTCCATTTTCTCAAATATCTAAATGTCACACACAAATTTGGACATTTTGTTGAATTATACCGGGACTATCCACAGTATTTGAGAGCACCTGCTGTACTAGGCGTTTAACTCTGTGCTCAGGAGCATTCCAATTCTTCGATAGATCGCGTGGATGCAGGCAAGGTCTCCATGCCTATTGTTTTTTCCTGAAAACTTTTGGATAAATCCATCATTTATACTATCTCATTTTTAGACTTTTCCTGATTCTTGTTCTTGAAAAAATCAATTTCGGGCCCAGTATGGACACCACTGTTGGAAGGCGATGAAGATCTTCAAAGGCACACCAGCAGATTTTGTGGTGGCACACCAGGATGTCCTTCCTTCGCTTTCTGGCACTTTGTGGCTACTAGGAACAAGGACGCTACTAGGGGCTCCCCTTCGCTTCCTTGCACTGGTGTTACCACTTTGCATTTTGTGTTGGACATTTCTGGCCCTGTTTGCCTTATCTTAAAGTTACCGGTTGTGTGTTGACGGATTTAGCGGATGAATCTCCTAAGCTAAAGGGCTAAAGGGTATGCTTCTTGTGCTTGCTGTAGGGATGAAGTGGCATTGACTCTTGGAAGTGACAGAGATTTGTGTCGTTTTGATCATTTATTGTTTTGATTTCTTTAGCTTCTTTCGCTTTGCTTGTTCCGGTTATGTTCTATTTCCTTTCCTTTCTCCGTGTCCATTTTGACGCGATCTTTGCCAAAGCTCGCGCACCTCCCAGCTTTTGCTCAGGACCGATCCTTATCTTCTCGAGGAAGATGAAGAAGCGGAGGCAAAGAGGACACCGGGCCTTGCTGCACAGGAGCCGAAGGAGCAAGAATCGGAGTTGGAAGAAGAGGTCAAGGAGGCTGAGGAGGGAAAGGAGGAGAGAGACGAGGTTGGAGACGAGGCTCGAAGTTCCGCTGAGCCTGGTGTGAGCGACGTGAGTCACTCCGAGAAGTTGAAGAGCCAGGTGGAGCAGCTGGAGCCACTCAGTATGAAGCGATTGAGCTCCATATTTAGGCATCAAATTGATCAAAGTTTTGAAGCAAGGGCGAGAACCCTAAGGACACGAGCAAGCTATATAAGCATACCCTCTTTAAAGTTGGGATTCCAAAGCTGTCAACCAAGGCGCTCTCCCGCTGAAGCCAGTGATGTTGCAAGTGCCGTTTGGAACTGATTCTGTAAATTCGATGCAGTGACAAGAGTGAAAGGCGAAAGGAGTGATCTTTGTGGTTGACTTGAGAGCCTCCAAGAACTCTTTTCGGTTTGTGCTGTTTCTAAGCACCTAGGCTTTGGAAACTGTTCAGTTCGTGAGCTGTGCAACTGGGCGGAATTTGGTGTTTCGTGAGTTCGTAGAGGCTTTTCAGCAAAAACCAAACCCTTGGAACATTTTTTTCAGCTAGGCTTGGAACAACTTGCCAGTGAACGTTGAGTTCGTGGAGAAGGAGGCATTTGGTTCTGCAGAGGATATTGTTGCTTCTTTTGCCTAGGGCTGAGATGTGCCATGTTTGTCGCTTCCCTTCGGCATCTCAAAAGAGGCCGATTGGAAGAGTCTAGCCGTGCAGCACTTTTCTGCACAGCAGGTGCGTTACATTGTGGAAAAGAAATTGGGAGAGAGCTCTGGAAGCGCCATTTATGCGATCCGCTCTGCAAATGGTCGGTTGCTCAATGGGGCTCTTCAGGTTCAGCGTGTGTAACACCCTGTAACCGGAGCTTTCGTAAGAAATCGGACCTTGTTGAACCAGAAGCTAAGTACAACTTGTGAGACTCGATGCGGATGTGCTGCATTCAGCTTTGCAGCTTCACATGTTGAAGGTGGGGGGTTTATCGTCAAGATGTCGGCGGAGAACAAGGAGCCCTTTGCCAGGCCTGTCGACACTGGAGTTCATAAAAGATGAGAACCTTTGATGCAAGGCTTTTTCGCGAGGGCGAGTTGCAGAAGGTGGAGCTTGAGAACGTGATGCTGGAGCAGCAAAGCACTTGCTAAGCCTTGCAAGTGTCCTTCAAGCAAAACTAGATAGGGCATAGGTTGGAGGCCATCGCTAGTAGGTTGGAGGCCACGCTGCCATCGCTACTAGGTTGGAGGCCATGGTTGTGCTGCAGGATATTTTCGATGTGTCTTCCTTTGTCCAGACCCTCACTCAAGTCATCTCAGACTTCAATGCCTCTATGTCGAGACTTGGACCTTTAAGACAAACTAAACAGACATTTCTTTGCTCTGTCTATCCCGAAACTTGTTAACGAACGCTCCTTTTTTGGATCTCAAAACCAACAGTCACTGAGCAGCACCATCAACCTAAGATCTCGGCAGATTCTTGCAATCTTCGGGCCTGCCAAATCTGACAAAGACATTTTCAAGATGATTTACTTCTCGTGCGTCAAGGACTCCAATGCTGCCAACCGTGCCGCTTGAGCAATCCGCGTTCAAGGTCTTGCCACCTGGCAGAGCCAGTTGTTGAGAAATCTCTCAGTCTTTCACTTGATGCGTGCTTGTACACAGATTGATGTGAGTGGTGCAAGTAGAACCGAAAGCCACGAGGTTCTCGGGCGACGAGGGAACGCGAAGCCGCTTGGTGAGAAAAAGCAATGAGCAGTGTCTGCAGTTCATTGTAGTTCCCTTCTTCAATGTCCTAAAGGGTTTAGAAGCATCGAGATGTCTTCCTCTTCCATTTTTGCATTTCCAGGTGTCGAAGAGAAACCGGGAGAGACTCGGGAGGCTGAAACGACGACTGTTGCGACGGTACGTGGGTCGTCAGTTAGGCCAGTGAAGGCTTTCAGTCCGAAAGGGGCGTGTGACCCGAATCTGCACACGTTTTGTCAGGTGGCAACTTGGTCCAAGGCCAAGCCACAGGCGGTGCTGCTTCAATAAGATTAGTACCGCTATTGCAAAACTTCATTTCAATTTCCGGGTGTGGGCTTTGTAGTCATAGTTGGATGCCTTTTCACGCAGGTTTGCAATGGATCCATATGACTTCAGCTTTTTTTTGCCGCTTCCAATTTTTGAGCTAGAAGCAAGGGCATCGCTACTAGGAGCAAGGACGGCAAGAAGCTAGGAACAAAGGGCATCGCACAAAGGGCTCCTGCGTGTCCTTTCAGGCACCGCCCAAGTCTTTGTCCACGATGCTGGAAAGCTATGTCGACGAGGCTCGACCTTTCGTCAGAATTCCTCGCGTTCGATTCGTCGACAGAAACCCGCTATACTAGCGTCCGATCGCTCCTAGTAGCTTCTTGTTACTACTAGTAAGGCACTTGTTACTAGAAGCGATGCACTTGTTCCTAGTAGCGTCCTTGTTCCTAGTAGCGATGCCAGGAGCACGCTCTTGCTTCATTAAGTAGGCCTACTTGATCAAGTAGGGGAGTAAACACGCCTAGCAATATTTATATAAGCTTCTAGCTGGTAACTGGACGCAGGATAGATCACGCTTCTTCAAAGAAGTTAAGGCTGTGGGGGGTAGCCTCCTTGAAGAAGCGCTTGCACTGATTGTTTGGTTCCTAGATTTTAGGGAAACTTAACTTTGTCAGGTTCAGACTGCTGCTGGTTGTTCTCTGCTTGTCCAATCTTGCACACTCTCACCCAAAGCTTCTTGCAGAAGCAAGCATGTATTTTGTAGCCCATGATTCCATCACTCCTTGCGTTTGTTTGCTTTTCTATTACTTTATCCTTCTGTTCACATGGACAGAATTGTCGAGGACAGTGTGAGCAATGTGTCGGATCCCAATCCTGAAGAACCTGACGGATCTGACGCGAAGGTGGAGGTCTCTGGACCTGTCACGGCAGAAGGGGCCAAAGCACGCGCTGTGGCTCGCATGGCAAAGAGCCAAACAAAGGCCAGCCGAGGATGAAGGGTATGAACAAATTATATAAGGATGAAGGGATAACACAAAGGATAAAATAAGGGACAATAAGATCATTTCCATCAAAAAGCGATGGATTCCTGACCTTAGACTCCAATTTTGGATAACTGACTGTCAGGCAAATACGAAAGAGGATGAAGACCTTGAAGAAGATCAGGTGCATGAAGTGGATGTGCTCAAAGGCCCGAATGAAGTTGGCGAAGGAGTTGGGACTGTGACGCTGTTCAAGGATGTCAATTCTTTTGTCGTTAATGGTTTGAGAAGTTGCAGGAGCCTTTACTTGGGATCCAGCAACGGGACAATTCGTGAGGGAAGAGATCCTTGGCTCTTAGGTTGGAGGGTCATTGCTATTAGGTTGGAGACCATAGCTAGTAGGTTGGAGGCCATCGCTAGTAGGTTGGAGGCCATCCCTAGTAGGTTGGAGGCCATCGCTACTGTAGTAGGTTGGAGGCCATCGCCAGCAGGTTGGAGGCCATTGCTAGTAGGTTGGATCGGATGAACTGTGTTTGAGCTTTCCAAGGATCCCAGCTGACATAGCTGAAGAGTTTCGGCGCAAGCCTTTGAACTTGGAGGAGCGGAGCTGCGATAGTTTATCACCACCGATTGTCCCAGCAAGCGGATTGAAGAATAGCTTCTTGTTACTACTAGTAAGGCACCTGTTACTACTAGCGTGGCACTTGTTCCTAATTGCTTCTTGTTAAGAATATTAATTATCTCTTCAATATTATCAAGTCGGTTAATCTCGTGAGGATTATCAGCAGCGGGTGCTGATGGCCCAGTTGCAAGACAAAAAGCGACGTTTGCAGTGCCTCATCTGTGCATCAATGCGTAGGGGTTCGAAGCTAAAGGAGCTCCAAGTTGGCTCGAATGCGTAACATAAAGGGAGTGATCGTCAACTCTGAACGCTTGCATTGTCAGACAGCAGCAAGAAGAGAGAGATCGCCAGCGGCAAAAGTTAGAGAAGCAACAGGAGCAGGAGCCGCGGGGCCGCGGGGCATGGTTGGCAGCTGAAAATCGCGCGGCAAGCTGGGTAGCTGGGAAGCTTTGCTTCAGGCTGCTCATGCTATCAGGATCTAGATGTCTTGAATTATCACCCAGAATCTCGTTTCAATATTGTCCTGTGTGTTGAGTACCGTTAGACTGGTAGTTTAAGAGTCGCATAGCGTTACAGATGTGAGTTTGCGAAGCGGCAAGCACTCCTCCTAGAGCTGAACTTCTGCTTGCGCCCCCC